AATCACTAGCCATCAGGAATGTAGGTTGACACAGTGAATGAAACAGATGCACGACCAAGGAATTGTACTTACATCACGAGTGTGCCATTGTCGGCAGACATCACATGTAAGGACGGATTTAAGATGTTGTCTTTCTGGAACAGGTGTTATGTCTTAGTAGCTGGAAGCCATTATTCTAGATGTTATGGATTTCCAGAATATCCATGGTAAAAGGCTTACGATCTTTCAATTTGACCGCTAATGTATTGTGATGCAAACATTAAAGGCATTCTGGAGATGTGTTTCCACGAAGGTGCTTATTTGTGACCTTTCCAGACGAGTCGCATTTTTCCGAGAGCTGCTTCCGAGTAGCCCGCAGATGCTGCTTTGAGCACGTACCATACCATTCGAGTAAAGGCTGCTTTAGGACATACGTCACAGGACATCTCGATATCTCGTAGGACATCTCGTAACAAGCAATGCTATTGAACATCGTTTTGCAATTAAACTGGATGTTTTTCCTCGGGGATGCGCCAAGGGTGCGGTGTTACTGCTACGAAGCTTATGATAACATTTGCTCGGTCTATGCTCTCGAACGGCTGCTCTGATCTCCATCTGCACCAAACTTTTGGCCATAAACTTTAAGTAAAGTTGTCGGAACTCCAAGTAGAAATGTTTTGCTAGCATAATATTCACAGTATGGAGTAAGTCCTGAGGGGCGTCTACAAAGCTACTCACCTCAATTTCTGGTCTGTCATCGCCAGATTTCTTTGATTTTCAACAGTTTCTTGAGACTGAAATGAACAATCTGAATTTAATTTCAATTTTTGAAACATTTGCACATTTGAACAATTGATATGGTCGCAGTAATTTCTGGCTATAACTACCTTACACCAATGCTGAGAAATGTATATGCAATTCACGATTTCACTTGAGCTCATATACACACGAAAATACAACAAATCGGAAAACAGTTGTGACCACACGGCAAAGAGGAGAACTACAACAGTTAAATTGGTATTGCAATCCTACTTATTGTCACAGCAGGCGCGCGAAAATCTAGGTATTTTCTCCGAACGTTTACATAAACTACATCTATACCAACCCCATGGTGACCTCATGGTGTCATGGCGACAATTTCTATTGACGACGCTGTCGATCGGAGACTGTTGGGCTGCCAGCAGTGGTCGTGGCCCGCGGTGTAGTTGGCAGCGTGCGTCGCTCAGCGCGCCGGGCCCAGTCCGTACGGGCTGTTTCCTCGCCCCATTATCGTCCCCTGCTCCGCGGTCTCTGGAAGACGCTCCATCTCCCCCGGAGAATGGCGCAGTTCGGTCGTCGGTCGTCGGACACGAAGATGCCCTCGGTCATTCCTGCCTACAGACCGCCTCTGATCCCTTCCTGGAACCAGGCTCTCTGGAGCAGCCTCTCGAACACTCCGGCTACTTCATCCTTTGTCATGGTTCCTATTTTGATATGTCATTCTCTCCACCCCTTACCGCGGAGTGCGACGCTGTATTTTCTTCTGCATTACCCTGGGTGTCAAAACATCCTATCAGACCTCTGAGCTTCTGACTTGTCCCTCTCTGAGGTCCGGTTCTGCCTCGGCCCCTTCCCATTTTTCTGAACGTCTGTCCTACTCTCTGCCTGATCTCTCCTCTGTCCCTCGTCTGGCTTTATGCTCCGCCTCTCCGGACCTGTCTCTGCTCCCTGGACACCCCTTATCAGAGTTCTACCTTATCCTGACTCGGGTCTCTGGACCTCTGTCCCGCCCTCTCCCTGATCTCTGCCGATACCCTCCTTCCAGACCACTGTTCCACCTCTCCAGAATTCCGCCCGGTCTCCTCCCAGGCCTCTGCCTGTGCCCCGCCCCGTTCTCGTCCTCCCGCCCCGTGCCCCGGTCGGTGTTCAGACTATGGCTGCCCTGATGGCCGAGTCCGGGGCATTTCAGCAGCCGCAGCCACCGTGACTCTGGCGGCCAAAGAGCCGCATGACGCGCTCTAAAGCCGGCTCGTGATCCCCCATCACTCCTAAGCGCGCCCCGCTAACCCGATAATGGGCTGTTTTCGTAGGGCTCCAACTTTTATGAGTGCATGCAGTAAAGATGCAAAGATACGGTCTGAGCAGAGGTTGAAGTGCTTGGGTTTTAAATAGAATGCTATGGGGTGTTAAAAAGTAAAAAGCTTTCGTGAAGTGCTGAAAATATTACCGACATTAAGTTTAGATGAAATGTCCCAGATGCTTTTAAGAACACATTTTGTCAAAGCTATTCACTCACTTTTTTAATGTTTTTATCACTATTTTTTAGGGATGAATATATATAACTTAGTCGAAGGTGGACTGAAAGCTGCGACAATCTGTGTGGGCACCAGAGCCATTGATCGGTGTCACAGCACTGACGTAGATCCGGGATCTCAGCTGCTTTGTAACAGCCAATCAGTCGCCCAGCGCGGCTCACCGAACAATAACTACAATAGCATACAGGCGCGCGCACAAACACACATACACACAAACATGACGCGCACCAAACGACCACAATGCACACGAGCAAGCCGAGTTTCTCTAGGCATCGCCATCCGCTCAATATATTGTGCCATGTTTGTACGTCAGGCAAATATGTTTCCCAGCACGGCGGGAAGTCCTATCGTGGTTACTGAAACGATCGGTAAAGAGCACGTCTTATTGAGTAGCTCAGATGGGATAATTGGGACACGTCAATGGGACATTAGTGAGCAGCATGTAAGCACTGAAAGCTGTCCGTAGACGGTGCACAGAGTGACGTGGGTGATATTCGCGATCGAAGGGACCAGGTGAATGGAGATGGCCAAGATATGACATATGACGTATATCCTACTGCGACAAAACGCAACTTGATACCAGCACAAAAGCTGATAAAGTTTAAGTTCAATATTTTTTAACGTATATAACATGTCATCTGCACTATTTTCCATAGCTAAATTCTGATTGATGAAACCCAGCATCGTTTACCACAGACGTGGTACACCGATAATAATACGAGTAGATTCTTTGCTTGATTGTACCATCGCTGTCATATACGTCAGACCAGGGGCGCGGGAACTACTTTCCGACTGGGGGGGGGGGGGGGGGCACACCATAATAGAGATTAACCTAGGGTACCCCCAAATCTAGTTTTCTCACCGGTTTTAGGCCACTTATTTTTCACCCCTCGGCTTTTTCAACAAAAAAGAAAACATTTGGAAAAAAAGTGTGGTATTCCGTCTCAAAGCTGTGGGGGCACCGCCCCCACGGCCCCAGAGTTCGGGGGGCAAGCTGCCCCCACTGCCCCCCCGGCTCCCGCGCCGATGCGTCAGACCCAAATAGGATAAGTCATTACTTTTTACGTCATCAGTGACGTGGCTCCCGGCCAATCTGCCATAAAACATCGCATGCCTCGCTCAGTGCCTTCTGATCCCGTCATCCTCTGGTCTCAGCTCAGGAAATAGCCTTCGAGCAGGTAGATTGCCAAAGCTCAGAGGCTCGCGGCAGCTGCCTCAAGTGTTTCCGAGCCGATCCAACCTCTGATCACCGATTGTGCTGCGAGTAATATTAGCACCACGGCTGAGCCCGACTCGATATAGCTCTACTATATGTTTGACTTGATTGCTGTATTCGTACATCTGACAGACCCGGGTGCATAGCGGCAGTGAGCACAACACTCATCATAGCTGAATGATGCGCTACTGAATCTAATGCGATGTCGACTGCATTGTGAGTGATAATTGGCTGTACCACATCGAGTAGACACTGGCTACCAAAACAATGTCAGGTTTAATTGGAGTCGGTGTGTTCTATTATGAGAACAAATTGTGCACTGTTGTGCTCTTTTGCTTCTGTAATCTGTTACAGATAATGATTCTGCTTGCACTTGCACTGAAAGCTGACTTAAGATGTTAATGTGGTTGTGAAGTTCCGCTGACTCCTACATTGATCATAATAAACAATGAGACTGATGTAGAAGCCACATTTGAATATCGACTAGTTATCGGTATCGATTCAACGTCAAACTTCTAATGAGAAAAACTTCAATGCAAAGACACGCGATACTGAATCGACAGCAGAGTCCTCGTAAGCTTCTGCAAGTTGTGATCGTCTTGCAACACTGCATGATGAATGGCGAAAACAAAGAAGATGCCCTTTACTTTGCCCTTTTACGAATAATGTGATGCTGATTGCGCACAAGCGCATACAAAAATGAGATATGACACGACGTCGCGACACGACATTTTGAGTCGCTTTGTGCAGTGTACTCTGAAGGTCAAGGTCAAGGTGATTTGAATAGATAACCTTTTGTACGATGGAGCACTGCATTTCAAGAAGGAAAAAAAGATATTTGGCAGCCTGTCTTGCGTCACATATCCGATTATTTCATATTTATTATTCATATTACCTACCTATAAATAATTATCCTTACGAATATAATAGCCCTTTAATTCCAGAGAAGCAAGGAAGCTCCAAATAACCAGCTTTGAACAAACTCATCCTGCCATTCAGGCTGGGATAACAATGCCTTTCAAAGAATGTGTCACTGTTAGCCAAAGGACAGAGATTCTTCGAGTTGAACAAAATACTGAACCCCTTTTGCCTCTATCATTCGGATTGGTAGAGGTCACGCTGGTGTCTACATAGATAAATGACCGTCTTAGTTACCCGAGACTTTGGAGTTATGGCTTGACATTCATCATGTATCGAATTCAGGTCAAATGGCGGCCGTTTAGCCCAGTCAGCACCGAAGTCACGTCTATGGTGTCCCCAGTGTTATCTCCCATGATGTATTACTACACCGTTTGTACGGGTTGGCCCCTACTGATGCCGATCTCAGTCGCACTGGACCCTCGCTGTGCCTCAAAACATGACCCACGCTTGAGACCACGCTGGTGCAGAGCCCCACCGGCAATGCAATGGACTTGGTTGAAGATGCTTTCTGTTACAACATGTAGCTGTGCTTGCATCCCTCACTATCGTACCTCCTTCTCGTGTTTGACGGTCGCCTCCTTCCGTTGCAGTTTCGACGTTGAGAATGGCGGCGTACACGGACGTGGTGACGGCTCGTCACCGTCCACGGGCCTGGTCCTGCAGAGCCTGCCGCAACGACGCGAGTCGTTCATCTACAAATCCGACTCGGACTTTGAAATGTCGCCCAAGACCATGTCCAGGAACTCTAGCATCGCTAGCGATGGGTGAGTGTTACCTAAGATTTGGAGAGTGTATGTATGTTTGACGTTTGTGTTTGTGTGTTGTGGGGTGAGGATGAGTTGTTAGGAGTTTACATTCTGCATAGTAGGCGTTCGGCGTTGAGAGTAGTGAGTTGCATGATTTATTAGACGGAGTAAGATTACCAGTGAGGGAACTTGAAAAGTTAGTGGTTTGTGATGAATGTCCTTGGTTATGAATGAATGCTGCAGTAACAGCAAGCGTAACTAACAAACCGACGCTATGGACTTCGCCTCCAAGTAGCACATCTCACGATGGGTGCGATATTGCCACTACGAATTCATTTAGTAACTTGCGGAGGGCAATAGCGTCGAGGTTAATGAAAGTCCGAAACTCCAAACTCTGAGAAAGGAGCGGTCGTAACTGAACACTGGAGATGGAGTGCCCGGAACTCCAGACATGGCACTGAATACAGAGTGTCCGCTAAGTAGCTGGTGACATTTAATGCTAATCAGATCTCGGAGCCGCTCGGGTGCAATGGCGAGGCACGAAACACCGCTAACTTTGAGAGCTGGTAATTGAGACCTAGAAGAAGCAGCGCATTTGGACGGCTAAACACTATGACGAGTTTTTGTTCTGCTTATCTTTTATAACATTTGCTGTTTTATTAGTAAATGCATGGCTCATATATTAAACAGGCATGAGCCTCGGCATACTTTATCGCACCAAGCGCTCCACCAAACTGCACAGACTCCCCGCTCAATTGAAATGGCACACGTCTGTATAATTAAACCGCCTCCGTAGCTCGCGGTGGAAATCGCGCGATGTCAGGCCAACTGTCCCATAGGGGGCCACTGCGGACCGGCCGGCTAATCTTGTTCCATCCCGCCGTGATGGAATAATGAACTCAATCAGAGGATGTCACTTATCGTCAACGATGGTCTGACGTCCACCGCTCGGGCCGGACAGATTGTATTTCTGTCCCGTTTACCGACAGAATAACTGCGCCGGCTGCGTAGGGTTTTGAACCGCGACGTCTTTTAGCTGGCTACTGAGTTCGTACCGTTATTTGGGTATAAAGTGGGATTTAAGTGCGAGAAAGGCCTGTGCTTGTCATTAAATGATCGTGAATTACGTTTTGTGATGGTTTGCTCGTTTGGTTTCGGAATATAATAGTTTATGGTCCGTATAGTGCACAGTAAACTGGGCCAATATATCGCAGAATCACCCTGGCACAGCCCGCCTGGCACCACTGACAAATATGCCGGTATTTCTGGATCTCCTGGATCCCAGGCAAATCGGTAGGTGATAGATCAGCTATTGGAGCACAAATGCCTGTGTGCTGTTCTGTCAGTAATATCAGCCGCGGCTGAGAGAATCGAGGTCTAATGGACGTGACCTTTAGTGAGATATTAATGCATCCCACTGGCGGGAGGGGATCAGTCATAATTCGGCGGCTATTGCACTTTCCAATAAGGCTAATGGAGAACTTTGAAATAATTTAACGAACTTTCAACGAAAGACCTCGCTTGGGCGGTATGTTTCCTCAGGGAGGTGAAACCCGAACACTAAATTGGACGTATATTGGCATTGATTGCCTGTAGGTCTTAAATTGTACCGCATTTTCTGGCATCAGGATTGAGGGATATTGCCGTAGCTGGCCGAGTTATGAACGCCCGAGGCATTTGGAAGAAACATGGCGTATGTCTGAGAAAGCGTCAGCAAGCACCACTTAGAGGCCATATTGCGAGGGTAACAGCTGTGTTCAATGCAATCGCGTCTGCTAAACATGGAAATAGTTTATTTGTTTTACGGGCTCTACACCAAGCCGCATATGCAGACGGTGAAAATCAAGTCAACTCATTGATGCTTATGTTAATACTTGATGAAAGAAAGCGCGGTTTTAAGGCTCATGATTATATATATATAAATGCAATGCAAATGCAACTTGTGTAAAAAAGATGTTTTTATGGATAAACGTACGGCTAGTTAAGCATAAAAAGAACCGCTGCGACGCCATATCAACACCAAATCTAAATACTGTCATTGCTATATAGGTATGTAAACTATGAGTTCGGCTCAGACTGCTTACCGCCTCCGATCTCTCCACCCACGCTGCGCGGCTGTCCTTCCGCTCTACCGCGGTGGCTGATCTCATTAGGTCCGTCGGGGCTGTGTCTGTCGGCCCCAGCCGCCGAGCCGCCCCCTCTCGTTTGGCGCTGCCGTCAGAGCCAACCGTCCAAAGCTGCAGGCTGATTATTGCTGCACCCGACCGCCACATTTACCGCGGCCGCCGTGCACTGCGGAGATGAGGCCAATCAGTCAGAACCACCTGGCCGAAGGATTTTGGTGGTGTCGTTTGGTCGGGGCCGACAGCTAATTCAATAGGGACTTATTTGATCGCAGAGCTGCCACTCCTCGATTGCTTCAGCCTCGTATAATGCATTAAAAGGCGAACATTATTGTAGGAGTGATTACGTCTTGCTGATAGCTATCAGTCCTTTTGATAGGTCGCACCTCATGGTTTTCGGTGAGTTTGCTCTAGTGATGTCAATCGGTTACCAAAATTTCGGTATACCGATACCGAACCAATACCGATTCGGTATTCGGTATTTTATACCAAAAGCATTTGGTATTTTGTCGGTATTATTAAAGTCAACTACTGTCATGAAAAATTGAAAACATTTTTTATAAACCTTCTGAACTCAAATTTGATTTGCTAAATGACATTGGATGAAGAAAAAGGACAATCATGACACATTTCTCCCAAATGCATGTGATGTCACAAGAAATGGGCAAACACATTAACTGTAACATCAAACACATCAGTCTACCAATGTTAAATGGCAAGTTATCAGTGCTAGCAAATTCCAATACCATGAGGATAATCATCTTACAAAAAAAAACTAATGTGCAAGACATAAACATGTATCAATGTTTAACTCACTGTATACTGGAAAGCATACTTCAACTACCTTACTCAAAATTTCCCAAGCATTCATTAGTAACAAATTTGACTTTGTTTTGATGAGTCTGTGATTGATCTTGACCTTGTCTTGCTCTCCATTTCACTGCAATGCAGTTATTTCACCGGGAACAGAACCAAGCACACAGCATTGGCACAGGATTTTAGCGCAAACGGAAACGGACAACAGTAGCGGTATTTTTAAACATCGCAGCAACTATAAAAAATGGGCATGTCTCGGAGCGTTCAAGCCCTGGACCCACTTGTGAAAGTGGGACATGCGCATGCTCCGGGGCAGCATAGAGAGGAGGACCGAGAGCGTGTTACGCGTCGCTCCTCACGAAAGCCGTCCGCAGGGGTCGGTGCTGGTGGGTGTGTCGGCGGATCAGCCTCTGAATCGAGTGGCGGCCCCGCAACTGGCTCTTCTTCCGGTGCCTGGAGTGACTGAGGGATCCTGGTCGGGGTCAGTCCGGACGATGCAGTTATGCAGTTACATGCGATGCAGTTACATTATCCAAAAGCCAAAACCCTGTTTTTTATAGCACTAGCTTCACCATTATCATCTAATATTGAAGGCAGCATTTATCACTTTATCATCACCCCACAAATTCTCAACTTCTCTCAACTTCAAAAAGATCCTGTGGATAATTTATTTTCTTTAATTAGTGTTCTCTTTCCTGCTCTCCTCAAGAGATAGAAATCGCTAGCAATGTAATCAAAAGCATTCCTAAAATATAATTGGGTCTTGGCTTGATTCGCAACTAGCAGTTTAAAAACTGAACACAACTAAGAACTTGATGATGTCGCAGCTGCGCCAAAACCCGATGTACCTCAATAGCTAATTAAAAATAATTGAGCAAATTTGTTTTTCTGGTTCTTCATTTTTTATCAATAACAGCCTACAATCTTTCTTAAATTAATTTTAAGATGCCAAAATATAAACATCATATTAATAACGTAAGTGTTCTTAAAGGGACCCTCCCACCTTAACATTAGATTTGAGTTGAGATAGCCAAAATGGGGTTCCTGGCTCACAATTACCGGTTTCGGCACTCACAACATCGAGAAATGCCTTAAATCGGAAATATTGAATTTCAAAATTGCAGCATTTTGATTCAGAGGGGCTAATGCTTAGGAATACCCCTCTGAATGTGTGACGTCAGCGCAAATATCTAACGATTTTTTAATGTTTGACTAAAACGTTTTGTAGCACGCGGTGGTATATGATATTTGCGCGCAACATCTGCCGCAAACGCCGCACTTCTAAAATAAAGTCGCTAGAAACAGCGGAGATCCCAAAAAAGTAAACAAAAGTAAAAGTCTAATATCTTGAAAACCGGTGAATATTTTTCGGTGAAATTTGGTAGATATTCGTTTTCGCTCTTTCTGAACCGAGCGACATCACTTTCATGCCAATTCATAAACTTTTTCGAAGGTGGGAGGGTCCCTTTTAAGCAAAAAAGAAAAAAACTTTGTTAATTCCGTGCGTTTCGTGCCTAAATGCAAATGGCCGCCGCCTGCAAGGCTGCCATTGTGGAAGAGATGCCACGTGACACGTGTCAATGATTCTGTAAAATTATGAACATTTTACTTAGCTTTCATCACGATATCATTACAGTGGTGTCTGCTATCTATCAGTGTGCCTCGTAAGTAATTATTTATCAAGATTTGTTGTGTTAAACATTTGTTTATGATGAAAAATTGGCTGCGTCACTATCGTCACCATCGCTACTTGAGTTGAACTGTAGGTATCATGGATTTTGTTTACATTAATGGTATAGCCCAGCCCATTATTGTCATTTGGTTACCATTTTTGGATCATGATAGCACACGTAACCCTGTCTTGACTGGACTTGAATTGAGTGACTTGAATTGAAAGGACGTTTGATGGTTCAGGCATGGATGAGATTCAGGGTTCAAGTTCTTGTCCTATATCACCTCATGCAGATGACTTGAATCCACATCCCAGTTAAGTTACTGACCTGAATTTTTGTTCATAGTTACACAATAGTTATTTTTTTTGCAGTGCAAATAATTTAGAGATTTCCTGACTTGTTTTGG